GTTGTAGAAACCCCAATACCTCAATAACAGAAAAAAGTGGAGTTTCATGCTCTGTGACCTGTCCTCTCTCCCCTTCCTAGAGGATTCTTCTCCTTCTTTGTCTCTTTGGGAAGAATGCTGCAAAGAGGATTTATGGAATGTCAGATTAGTGTTAGGTTGTATCTTTTAAGGTACAGGTTTATGCAATTCAGTCACAAAGTTAAGAGAGCAATAATGGGGTGATAATCAAACAATTCATCATTTCAAAAGGAAAATAGGGTGAATCCCTAGTACAGTGGAAGACCTGAATGCTGATTCCTCTGATCCTTTTGAAACAGGGCAGCTCAGGCAGGACAGTCAGCTCGAGGTGAGTTGATGAAACCTTCTCCATGATCTCTCCTATGGAAAAAAATCCTTTGAAAGCTTCCCCTCCCACACAGAACAGGGTCTTGGCTCTCAGTGCCTCAGACTGATCTCCCTCTGCTTCATGTGATGACAGAATATCTTCAATATTCTTCACAGCAATTAGCAGAGTAAGGGGGGAAAGCTGCTGCTGCTGCTGCTGCTGGTTGAGTGCTCTTGCTCTGTGCTTTTGCAGAATCCAGAGCAGGTCCTCAGGCAAGTCTGGGGGTGTTTAAACCCAGCAATATTCAGCTGCTGCTCATGGAGACACAGATATCCAGGAGCTACAGCATGGACAACATCCTCCTGCCTCCTTTGGTGCTCCAGAAAGAAAAGATCTGCTCCTGGTTCTTGAGCTTTGGCACAAAACTCTTTGAAGTCAGCTGGGGTGTGGCTGGAAGGGAGGCTGGCCTTGCTCAGAACAAAAATGAGTTCATCCTTGCACTGGCAATTGGGATCCTTGTGGGAATTTGCAAACATCTGGGTGGACAAGAGAAAGCTGTGAGCCATGGTTCCTCCCCCATGGCTGCCCTCTCCTTCTTGTGCTCAGAGAATTAAATCTGTGTGTGGTGTGAGATGAGCTCGAGGGCACAGCTTTGGGGGATGGAGCGGCACAGGAGAGACCTCTCTGTCCCCACTGAAACCCTCCCTGAGAGAAGGAGGGTGGCAGGAGGCTGAGATTTGAAATATCCATGGAAAAAAAGCAGTTCCAGGTGTGCCAGCCTGGCTGTGTCAGAACCTCAGGTGGTGCTGAGGAGATTCCTTCTCCCTCTGCCTTTTCTGCTCCTTTACGAGCTGCTGCAGCCCTTCATCCTGGACATCAGGAGGGAATTCTTCACTAGAACAGGGAATAAACCCTGGAAGGGGCTGCCCAGGGATGTCCCCAGCCCTGGAGGCGTCCACACCTGGCTCTGGGCTGGTGACAAGCTGAGGCTCAGGCACAGCTTGGACTCGATGGTCTGGGAGATCCTTTCCAGCCTAAATGATGCTCTGTTACAAAACCCCTTTTTTTCCCTGCAAGAGTGTTCCTAGAAAACCTTTCTCTTTGTGCTGCACTTCTCCACTGGTATTTGCATTGCTGATTATTTGGCCTTAGGAGAAGAGTTGCTCTGCTCTCAGCAGCTGGTGGCTTTCCTTTCCAGAGGAGATGGATTTGTTTTTTCCATCCCTGAATAATTTAGATACTATTCATAGCTGAAAAATATTACTTTGCAGAGTAACGAGGTGCTTGTATGAGGCTGAAAATGAATGTTCTGATGTATTTCCACCTGCAAATTACAAAACTGCTGCGTGAAGTTTGCTGTGACAAAGCTTTAGGGACTCCAGCTCAGTCTGCATTTAATCAATTTGTTTTGTAGAGGAAAATTTATATCAAATCTGGCAGCCCTTTTAATGGTAGGCTTCAGAAATGAAATTATGCCTGATTCTGGTTCCAAATGTGCTGTGACATTAGTGTTAAAAAAAAAATAAATTAGAATTACAAGTTTTGCTTCTCTTCATTGTGAAATGGGCAGAGATTGTGTATAAAGAAATTTATTTCTGTTTTTTAACCTTTTTAACAGGTTTTGTCATCCTTTAAAACCTTTTTAAAAGTTTTTGTCATCCTCAACTGATATTGGTTAGGAGTGGAGCCCCAACATAAGAAATGTCTCATAATTTGAAAAACAAACATTTTCTGGATGCTGTATTAGAGAAAACAGCCTGGACTCTTGAATTGGGCTGGAGACATAAATCAATAGGATGTTCCCAGCTGAGGCAAATACTTATTTTTTTTGTTTGGAAGATGTGAGGAGTGACACAAGTGAGACCCTCCCATCCCCAGTCCCTCCCACTCATAGAGTGTGAAGATATCACACAAAAGATATTGGGGAGAAATTCCTCCCTGGGAGGGTGGGGAGGCCCTGGCACAGGGTGCCCAGAGCAGCTGGGGCTGCCCCTGGATCCCTGGCAGTGCCCAAGGCCAGGCTGGACGGGGCTTGGAGCAGCCTGGGATGGTGGGAGGTGTCCCTGCCATGGCAGGGGTGGGGCTGGATGGGCTTTGAGCTCCTTCCAACCCAAACCATTCCATGATTTGGTGAACATTTCCATCCTTTGGCAGCTCCTCTGGAGCCTCCTGCAGTAGAAGAGGGTCTGATCCCTGAACCTTCTGCTGCCAGACCTGCCCTGTGATCCTGCCCAAGCTCTGGAGGTGCCCATGGGATGCTCCTCTCTGCTCCAGCTCCAGCTCTTCCCACTGCTGCTCGCTTCAGCTCGGAGTGGAGACATTCTTAGCATTCCTTCCAGTCTCCATCGTAGCTACACAACATCTAATCACACTTCTCCACAACAACTGGCCTGGAAATTAACATTATAATGGATCGTAAGGGTTTGTAATTACTCAGAAATGTCACTGGGTGTGCAGGGCTCTGCCTGTCAGCAGCCTTCCCTCTCCTGCTTCTTGGAGTCTTCCTGCAGGTGAAAAATTCGTTTTCCTGAGGTTTTGTTGTCCCAAGCAGCACCTTCCCCCTCTGCTGTAATGATTGTCCTGGTAATGGTCCAGGAGTGTCACCAAAGTTAGGGACCAGCCTGAGGGGAGCTCGATACATCACTGAATTTCTTTGCTGAGCTGAAGTATCCCAGCCATTTCTAAACACCACCAGCTCCTGCTTTCTTCTGTCCCATCCAAATTTTGATGTTTATTTCTTCAGACAAAACAGCCACTGGAATGGCTGGAAGAGTTGCCTTTGGCAGGGATGGGGATGCTGCTCCCAGAACTCTCAGAAGGGAGGGGAGCAGAAATCTTTGAATTACGTCTCAAATCCTACCTTGGGCAGGGCAGCAGCATCCTTCCTGCTGTCCATCTCTGGCAAAATCAGGGTTTATTCCCACAGGAGAATTCCCACCTCCAGAGGAACACAAGGGCTGCAGCAGTGGGGGTGGTTGCTGCTTCACCAAACCAACACCAGAATTTTTGGCTCCCTGTGTGGGCAGCACTGCAGTTCCCTCCAGAGCTTGGCTTGCAGCAGCTGCATCTCAGGCTGTACCAAAAATGAGTTTTTCATCCCCTAAGGAGAGCTCCAGGAGTGCAGGGTGCTGGATGCATCCCATCCTGGAACTCAACTGGAAATATCCACCCCTTTCCCAGCTCCATTCCCAGCTTCCTTCAGCCAGCATTCCCTTTTGGGAAATGAATTATCTGCCACGGATTGAGGTTGCTGCCTTTTTGTGGAAAGGGGGGAAGGAATGAAATAATAGTTAATACTTAATGCATATGAGCAGCGATGCTGCTGGGGTTGCCTAGCAGCCACTTAGACAAGCAAGAGAATAAAAAAGGGCTGAGTGAATGTGTTTGGAGCTGCTTCCTTGGTCTGAGGGTGGAATCTGACCCATGCAGCCCAGTTTGGTGTTTTTTTGGTTTGTTTTTTTTTTTTTTTAGGATGGGGGAGGAGATGGTGGAATTTACCACTAATGGATATTTTAGCTCTGGATCATCTCTATCCACTCCCCCACCCCCATCTGGTTTTCCTTTTCAGTTTTTTTTTTTTTTTTTTTCAAGTGTAACTTGGAGAGCTTTAGCCAAAGGGAGGTGTTAAAGTTTTGTGTGGTTTTTCTGGAGATGGAATAGGCAAAAAAATAAAATAAAAAAAAAAATAGAAGGAAAGAGATTTTTTTCCTTCTATTTAGGACGGTATCTCTGGCAGTCTGGAGATCATTAGCATTTCATGGCCTCTTCAATATACTGCTCAGTAAATGCTGTAGAGACTGGAAATAGCTCCTGCAGTCACATTTAACACTCCTTGCATTGCTCTCCTTCCTGCAAGAAGTTCATTTCAGCTTCTGAAAAGCAGAAGTAGAAAGAAACTTTTGGGGAAAAAAAAGGAGCGGGGTTGAGCTGCTCTATGAGTGCAAATAAACTTCCCCCACGAGACCAGAAATTCCCCAAAGTATAAGGTTGGGTTAAAACCCAGCAGGAGATAAAAATAAGGAAGGCTGACAGTTTAAATAGTGATTTTCTGAGATCGTGTTCTTCTCTTGAGTTTTTTTATCTTTTTTTTTTTTTCCAGTAAAAAGTTGGAAATCTGGAAACCCTTTTCCTTGTCAGGCACTTGTGGGAGTTACAGGACTCCAGCAACTGGAATCCTAAAACCTCCCCTGCCATCCACACTTGAGAGGTGTGAACTCTCAATTTTAATGTGTTTTCCTCATCCCAGCAGTAATTTTGAGCATATTAAAGCAGAGAAAAGGGCACTTAGGAGAAAGGAATGAAGCGAGAAGCATCTTGGATTTAATTTGGAATAAATATAGCGGGTCTTTGAGGGCAGCTGGTCTCTTTTACACTCTGAGAGGAGCTGATGGCTCTTGGGTCAGTGCCAGCAGAGATATCCCTGTAGGAATTGTGGTGTAAAGAGCAAGGGGGTCAGGACAGGGAGTTTGGGCTGGTTTTACAGGCTTTGAGTGAGAGCAGAGTTGTCAGGAGCTTGGTCACGTCCACCTTTGCTGCTGTCGTGACCAGAATTCTCTTTTGAGGTCCTTCACTTGGCCAAATGTCACAGTGCTGAAGCATCTTTTAACCATTTTCACACAGTTTGGGGGCTGCAGTGCTGAAGTTGGCCTTAAAGCAGTGGTGGGATGGGCAAAGGTTGAATGAGCTTGGTTTGATTGACTTTTTTATTAATGAGGGTAAATGCTCTCAGATCACCTCAGAGAGCTGCAGGTGCTGTCTGTGTTATCCCTTTGCCAGGGAGACTCTTCAAATTCTGACTTTTTCATTTCCAGTTGTTATTTTTAAGTTGCTTCCATAAGTAGCTGCTCTCTGTTGAATGCTGCTCTGAACATCTCCAGCAAAAGATTATTTGCCTCCTTTAGAATATTTCTGGGTTTACTCTTCTCGTGCAGGGCAGTTCCTGAGAGAGGGAGATAAATGCTAAAAGATCAAGGAGTAGTTTGGGGACTGGGTCAGCAATAGCTGAGGGAAAAAAAAATCCTTAAACAAAGAACCAAAATTTTGGAAGATTTTATTTAAAACGTGCTCAGGATTGTGACTTTTATTTTTCATCCAGTGGATGAGCAATTCCAGCTTTTTGTGACATGAGTAGTGAATGCCTCAGTCCAAGTTTGTGCAGAGCCCTGGGGACTGTGCATTCTGTCCAAGGCTGGGCTTTATCCTGGGGCTCTTTTCCAAGCTTAGTGATTCTAAAAACACCTGGAGAAACACCAAAGGAAGCACTGAAAGCACCGGTGAAGTGATGCCACAGCCTAAGCTTAGATTGAAAAGCTGGAGAGACAAATTCTGCCCCAGATGTGCCTGTGGGAACCTGTGGCCACACTCTGTGGCCTCAGTGATGATCAGCAAGTACAGCAGAACTTTTATGTGCTAGATCAGACCACAGCACCCAGGACAATGATGTTTCCACCAGCCCAACAAAAGCCTTTCTCTATTCTTTGTTTCCCCAAAGCAAACTCTCCCTTAAAATCCTCCGAGAGTCTCTACGTTTTTGCTTATGATTAATTGCCTCAAATTTTAATGTAAAAAAATCGATGTGGAGAATTTAAATTAGCTTTCCATGTTCATGGCACTAGAAGAAAACATCCTTTTGATTAATTTCTCCTCTTCATCAAATCAAAGGACACTCCAAAACCACACACACACCCCCTCTCCCAAAAGCTCATTTCCCAGCCAGGCTGCCTTTGCCTGGATCCACAGCCACCATCAAGAAAAGCAAACCTGTTTTGAGTAAGGTAAACCCTGCTGGAAAGGGATCTAAAAAGGGAAAACTTTGAGGGATCTAAAACAGGTGGAGGGGAAAAAAAAAGCAATAAATTGAAGAAGGACTTGCTGAGGGACTCATGTGTGTTTGGGGGTGCAGAAACACCACGAGTAGTTTACTCCCAGCTCCAAAAAAAAAAAAAAACTTCATTCCTTAATATTATTTTTTTAAAAAACCCCAACCCAACAAAAAGATTTCTCTCCTGAGCATCTGCTTTGACGAGCGCTCCCCCCAGCCCCGCTAATCCGTTTTATTCTGAAATAACAATTCAATAAAATAAAACCAAAGCAAAACAAAGGCGCCGCGGCGCCCGCGGGGCTCCCCCCTCGCAGTTACCATGGCAAAGGCGTTATTTGTCCATCCTGCCTTCCCCGGGCTCCTGAAAATACCCGCTGACATATTTCGTGAGGCGGGAGCGGGATGGGGATGTTTGGTTTGGGAAACGCTGCTCGCGTCGCCTGGCAACGGGAGGGGACCGGGAGGGGACCGCGTCACCCCTGGCAACCGCTGTTGCTCCCCAAACATCGCAGCCTCCCCCACATCCTCCCCGCCATCCGCGCCTTCCTCGCCCTCCCCCGGGGATTTGGGAGATTTGGCTGCTCCACGTGGGGTCCCCAGAACCTCCCCCCCCACCCCCCCGAGGGGTCTCNATTTGGGGATGGTGGGATGAGGTGGGATTTGGGGATGGTGGGATAAGGTGGGATTTAGGGATGGTGGGATGAGGTGGGTTTAGGGATGGTGGGATGAGGTGGTTTTGGGGAGGGTGGATGAGGTGGTTTTGGGGAGGGTGGATGAGGTGGGTTTTGGGGTCATCAGAGCCCCTGTCCAGCCAGAGCACAGACACAGGTCACTGTGAGGGGTGAGCTGTCCATCACAGAGCCACCCTCTTGTTCTCCAGGCCAAAAACACTGCCCACAGGAATTTATTGCCTGGCTAAACGATCTCACTTGGGTAATTCCAGTTGTGTAGCAGTCAGTTCTCTTTCTTTGGGACAATGGGAGCTGCTGGAGCAGTGGGGAGCTGTTGGAAGCCTCTATCTCCTCCCATTCCTGTAGGACACAGTTTGTCTTCCTGCTGTCCTCACCAAAAATCCACCAGTGCTGCTCTCCAAGTGCAGAACATTCAAATCCATGTTCCCAAACTGCATTTCTAGGACATCTACAGCAGCCTCCTCTTTGCCTTTCCAGGGAGAATTGCCTGTTTCTGGATAGTTTCTATCTTCTATTTGGGGTCTTGTTTAGTCCTGGAATCTGTGCCAGTCACCAGCAGCTTTATGAACCTTAAATTCACACAGAAGAATCCCCAGCTCCTTCCTCCTCCTCACTGGAGCAGTGCAGTGGTGGGGAAGGAATTGCTGGTGTCCATGTACTCACTGAAATGTGCACTGGACACGGGGATGGAGTGGCTGAAGAACTGCTGAGAGTTTCATTTTGGGCCACCCTGTGTGACTGAGGACTGGCTGGAGATCACAGAATTGTGGGATGGTTTGGGCTGCAAAGGTCCTTAAAGCCCAACCAGTGCCACCCCCCGCCATGGGCAGGGACACCCAGGCTGCTCCAAGCCCAATGCTTGGACAGTTCCAGGGATCCAGGGACATCCACAGCTTCTCTGGGAATCCCATCCCAGCCCCTCACCACCCTCCCAGGGAAGAATCCCTTCCCAACATCCCCTCTAACCCAGCCCTCTGTCAGTTTGAAGCCATTCCCCCTTGTCCAAAGTCCTTCTCCATGTCTCTTCTCCCTGGCTGAATTTTCTGTGGAGTGCAGGAGCAGAGCTCAGATTTTTGTGGTGGTTCCTGCCCAGATACACCAGTTCCTGGTCAGGACAATGCTCCCTGTGCTGAGCCGGGACAACCTGCAACCTCCTCCTCTTCCTCCTCTTCTTCCTCCTTCTCCTCCTCCTCTTCTGCCTCCCGAAGTTCATCCCAGGGCCCACCCCATGGTGGGATCTCCTGGAGATCTCTCTGGAGATCCTGGAGCTCCTGACTGCACTGATGCTGTAAAATCAGAGACATCTCTTCTCCCAGCAGCCCCAGTTTGTGTTTGTTGCTTCTCCTGCTTCACTTTGTGAGGCAGCACAGCGCTGAGCGCCGCTGTGTGAACAAACAGCAACACCCTGGGCTGTGCTGGCAGCAGCTCCTGCTGTGCTGCCTGGAAAGTGCTGCTGCTGCTGCCCCACATCCCCATGGAATCCTGCAATTCCCTATGGAATCCTGCAGTCAATCCCTATGGAATCCTGCGGCCAATTCCCTATGGAATACTGCAGCCAATCCCTATGGAATCCTGCAGCCAATCCCTATGGAATCCTGCAGCCAATCCCTATGGAATACTGCAGCAGTTCCCTATGGAATCCTGCAGCCAATCCCTATGGAATACTGCAGCCAATCCCTATGGAATACTGCAGCAATTCCCTATGGAATACTGCAGCCAATCCCTATGGAATACTGCAGCCAATCCCTATGGAATACTGCAGCAATTCCCTATGGAATACTGCAGCAATTCCCTATGGAATCCTGCAGCCATTCTCCAGGGAATCCTGCAGCAATTCCCTATGGAATCCTGCAGCAATTCCCTATGGAATCCTGCAGCCAATCTCTATGGAATACTGCAGCAATTCTCCTGCTTCACACTGAAATCCTCAAAAGGCTGCTTGATTTTAAAGCCAGTGAAGGTTTGTCCAGGGTGAGAATGTGAAAAAGGAGGGCTGGTGAGCTCCAGGTGTGAGTTAAACTGATCTCCTGGAATTCGTCTGAAAGAAGTGACACATTCCATAGTTCCCTGATGTCAGAGAAGCTATAAAAGCCATAGGACGAGCTATAAAAAGCAGCACCAAGGTTTGCAGTTCCCTGTTCCAAAAGGAGCCCAATTCAGCCAGAGGAGGATTAGCTGTACCAGGTACCTGGGATTGTCCTGGGAGAGGCACCAGACTGCAGGGGACGAGGAACCAGAGACTGGTTTGGCTGATGATGGAAACTTTTAGATGTGTCCTGGAAAGGAACCTCTGAAATGCTTCTGTGCCAGATTTTTCCTGGAGACGCTGTTTTCTCACAAGGGCCTGGAGGGACCGGACACAGGGAACATTCCCAATGCCAGAGGGCAGGGTTAGATGGGATATTGGGAAGGAATTCTCTCTGTGAGGGTGGTAAGAGGCTGTGATGGAATTCCCAGAGCAGCTATGGCTGCCCCTGGATCCCTGGAAGTGTCCAAGGACGGGGCTTGGAGCAGCCTGGGATGGTGGAAGGTGTCCCTGCCAAGGCAGGGGTGGCACTGGATGGGCTTTAAGATCCTTCCAACCCAAACCATTCTGTGATTTTATTTCAGATTATTTCTATTTTCAGAAATTGTATTTCCCCCACTGAGTCACAGTCCTGAGAAATCCCTAGAGTGCACATAATTAAAAATATGGGAAACAATTAATTCAAGCCCAGAACTTGTGCTTGTTTTCACCAGGTAGCACCGATGTGTTTGTTACAGCCTGGACACGGAGTGTGACTTTTAATTCCTCCTTCCAGATGTGAAAGCATCCTCACTGCTCAGCAGATACCCAGATACTGTTTCTTACCTAACATTTCCCATCATTGTAGCAAAACTTTTCTGAAGTCCAGGTTTAGGTGGTTCATAGGAAAGAAATGAGTTCTACTTGTTGACAGGGTAATGCTGCACTAAAAATCTGGAATCTCTTGGACTTTTCTTACCAATAAACAGCTGTGAGTGGTGCAGGTGAGTGGGAGCATCCCTCAGGGATGCTCAGGGTGGGCTTGTTGGGGGCTCTGGGCAGGGCCAGGGGCTGCACTGATCATCCCTGAGGGTCCCTTCCCACTCAGGATATTCCGGGATTCTCTGTTGGGTCCTGAGAGTGAAGAGCAGCAGGGCAGGAACAGGGACACTCTCAGACCTGAACAAATCCAATCCTGGCTTTTGATGCTCAGGTTATTAACCCAGAAGAAAACAGCACAGGTTTTTATATGGGAAGGATATTCCCAACAATACTTTGCCCCTGTTCATGTCTGAGATTCCTGCACGTGGGATTTGGATTTTGCGAGCAACCTCTAAACTGTTGTGGCTTCTGCTCTTCAACTTCATCTGGCTCTTAAGGAAACTCCAAATTACAGGGCCAGCACAGATCCATTCCTGACTCTTTTCTGTCCTCAAAGTTACTTTTAAAGAAACAGCAGAGATTAGTGAGTGGCTGTTACACAACAGTTATGTGTGTGTATATATATTACTGGTCTTAATTCTGTGAAATCTAATTAAAGACTGAGTGTATATTTGTATTTCAGTATATTATTAACTTGCTAATAAAAGCTATTTCCAAATTTGTATTTTTCCATGAGGACCAGGTTTCTGAAAAAAAAAAAAAATAACCAACCCCAGCTATAGTGCCTGCTGCCCTTGAAAAGTGTGTTTTGGGTTTATCTGTGTTTCCAGGTAACTGGAGCTCATAGACAAGCAGTGTTTGCTTCTGTTTTAAATTAATTTAACCTAATCAGTGGCAAGGTCTGGTGCCTTCTCTTGTTTATAAAATTTTGAGGCAGTGTCTCTTCTTTTCAAGTTCCTTGGCATGTTTGCTTCCCACTTGCATTCCCCTGCACTTCCCAAAGGGGAAAGGTTCCGACACGTGGTGCAGGAGACTGTGGGTGAGCTGGTCCAGGTGCCTGGGAGGGGACAAGGACTCTCCTCTGTGTCAGGGATGTCCCAAAGCTGTCCCCATGCCCTGCTGGGTGAGGAGGGGCTGCCTGTGAGAGGTGGATGCTGCTCCATCCTCGGGATGGGACAGAACCCCAGGGTTGGTGCTGTGGGGGTGCTGGGCACTGTCCTGTCCTGTCCTGTCCTGTCCTGTCCTGTCCCAGGCTCTGGGGGTGGCTCGGTGTCACCTCAAGGTGGGATGGAGCGTTCTGGTGCTGGAGGTCAAGGTTTGGATGAGCCAAGGCTCTGTCTGGTCTTAACCTGCTCCCAAATCCTTCCAGGATCTGAAAGGGCTGGCAGGGAAACTGGAGAGGGGCTCTTCATCAGGAACAGGAGTGCCAGGACACAGGGAATGGCTTCCAGTGCCAGAGGGCAGGGCTGGATGGGATATTGGGAAGGAATTGTTGGCTGGGAGGCACAGGGTGCCCAGAGCAGCTGGGGCTGCCCCTGGATCCCTGGCAGTGCCCAAGGCCAGGCTGGATGGGGCTTGGAGCAGCCTGGGATGGTGGGAGGTGTCCCTGCCATGGCAGGGGTGGGATGGGATGAGCTTTAATGTCCCTTCCAACCCAAACCATTCCATGATTCTCTGAGATTTCCTGTCTCCCTCTCAGTGCCAGAGCAGCAGCTCATCTCCCAGGGCTTTCAGAGCAGTTCAAATCCCAGGAATTCTGTTCCCTGTTGCTCTCCCGAGCCCAGGGAATGTCACAGCTGGCAGCTGCACAAACCCCAGGGGCAGGGATTGGGTTCAGGTGCTGAACAGGCAAACTCCAAACACCTTGAGCTGCA